GGGGGGGGGGGGGGCCCGGCGGGCCTTGCCGGGGGGCCCGGGCGAGCGGCAGCCTTGGGGGGCGGCCCGGCGGCGGCAGGCCTCTTCTTCCGAGGCTGCTGTGGACTCGTCACACCGAAGATGTTTCTAGCCGAAAAGTCATGGTCGTTCAAATGCATCTTCCTGATATACCACCTCCTCCCGCCCTTTCCTTAGAGAGCATTGCCGTTTTCTCTGGGGAAATCCCTTAAGGCTTTATGGGACTGCCCTGAAGTTGCAGGATCCGTTTTTAGTGACTATTTCAGTCTCTGGGATAAAATGAGGGTGTTAGCTTTTTAGTGCCAGTGGCATAGCATTACTTCTGCAGAGGTGAATTTGACCTGTGACAGTTTTACAGTCCAAGGAATAGAAGCAATAGAGTAAGCAGAAGGTGATGGTCACTTCCTACCTTGTTTAGTGTGAAGAGCAGGTGTTGATCTGTTAGATGCTCTTGTGGTGTAATTTTAATTCCCCTAAAATGGGGTTTTCTTCTCAGGTCAGCTAAGGATATCTGAGTGTGCTTGTCATGGTTTGAAACTTAAAGTTTGTCTGAAGTCTAAGGCCAGCTATACTCCACCTTTGACTAATGCTAAGCATGCTACAAGTTAAAACAGAGGCTTAGTACCTTGTAATCTGGTTAAAGATCCTCAGTCTTTCTATTAAGTGCTGATCCTTCTCAGCAGATCCTTATGGAAAATTCTCTCACTTAAATGCAATAAAGTCATGTAGTCAATCATATATCTTATAGATACTCATCTTAATGCTTGATATTTTTGTGCTCAAAATGAAAGACTCTAGAGAAGGAATATGTCAGGGTCCCGTTTAAAGTCATGGTCGAATGAAAAAAGCTATGTTGGAATGAAAAAGTGAAACCTTATACCTTATTTTTCCCCATGGATTTTAAAGGACTTAAATATCTCCAGTGTTTTAACATTTCTATGGATCGATAGACTTACTTGAAGCAGTGCTGTGGTATTAGGATGGGACTGAAAGGAATTTCTAATCAATTACTTCCGATTATGGGTTTTGAATATAAGCATACAGGGTTATTCCAGGTCTTGTTATCTGAATTTTAGAGATGTAGCTGGTCATAGGAAAAAAAAATTCTAATTTATGTTATTTGCTTTGTGTTTCAAGCAGGATATGTTCTCCTCTTCTACGGATAGTAAATTTTTTTAAAAGATCAAAATTCAAAATGTGGCTTTGTTCTCTTTTTATTTTAGCTTTTTTCCACCAATTGCTTTAATTTTATATGTGAATTTTAATGAGTAACTTCTGTCTGGTATGTATTGCTTGGATTCTATAAATGCTTTTTTGGTTGTTTCACAGTGCTGCAGTTTGAGCTAGGACTGCAAGAATACAATATATTTATGCGAGTAAAATATCCTTTCTATATGAGTATAAAAGCTGATTGTTTAGCTCTTAAATAAGAGAGCTATATGTATTCAGATGGTGCTTATTTTAAACTTTTAACGTTTTCCCCAGGTTTAAGTTTATTTTATCGTACAAGTCCCTCACTGCCATAATGCGACTAGTAATCCTTGAAGACTATGATCAGGCTAGTGAATGGGCAGCAAAATACATCTGTAATCGTATTATTCAGTTCAAGCCAAGTCAAGGAAGATATTTCACACTCGGTCTCCCAACAGGCAAGTTTTCTTCAAAGCCTATGTAACTGACTAAATCTAAAAATAGATTTGCATTATTGCTAATAGATATTGTTTCTGTAAAAACATGCAAAGTAGTTATATTTTTGGTAATGCTCCAACATATTCCTAATTTGAATATGAATTTTTTTAAAAAAAAAGCTGTGATAATGAAAAATGATGAATGACAGTTTTCCTTTAACTCTGTTGAAAAGCATTGTAGCAAAATCTGACTATGAAGAGATTTAAATACATGCTGAAAATGTTGTGTGGATATATAGAACAACAGAAAAACTTTGTTCAACAGGGAGTACGCCTTTGGGATGCTACAAGAAGCTGATAGAATATCACAAGAATGGAGATCTCTCTTTCAAATATGTAAAGACTTTCAATATGGATGAATATGTGGGTAAGCTGTGGTGTTAATTTGAGAGTACAGTACACTGAAACTTTTCTTCATTAAAATTGTTAAACTCCTTTGAATAAAGGACAAGATCAAGGTCTGATATGTTTGTGCTTGTACATTAGATTTATGTACACTGGGTAATTAAAGCATGTGTCTTTCTCATTTATTCTCAAAAATGCAAAGAGTTATTGACTAGTCCAAGTGGATCCTGAGAAACTGAATGCTTGTACATTACTGAAATACTCTCACAGGAAGTACTTTGTCACATAGTATCGTCGTTTCTTTCTTTTGAAGATTTTACCTCCTTTGTGATATTTGGGCAAAGTGAATGTATTAAACAAATTACCTTGCTGCACAGCAATAGGAAAATTCATCAGTGTTGTTTCAAATACTGTTTTGATTTGTTAGATTGTTCTTAAAGCTTTGTCTTCCATGCCATGTTTGTTACATGTAGACTAGAATGATTTAAGGTTGGTTAGATAAATCTTGTAATATGTTAATTTCACTTTAAATGGTTGCAGGGCTTCCCAGAAATCATCCAGAGAGTTACCATTCTTATATGTGGAATAACTTCTTTAAACATATTGACATAGATCCAAATAATGCTCACATCCTTGATGGAAACGCTCCGGATCTACAGGCAGAATGTGATGCATTTGAAAAGAAAATTGAAGAAGCTGGGGGGATTGATCTGTTTGTTGGAGGTATGACAGAATGTTCTGTGATCAGTTATGATTCAAACAAATGCACTGAATCTTTAGTCACTATTTTTAGAAATTTACTAAATAACTTATTCTCAAATATAGTATAAGAAAGTTCTGTAACTAACAAAGTCTGTATGAATATCAAAACAGAATGGTTGGTGTCCAGATTTCTCATAATAATTTAATCTGAAATAAGTTTTCAGTGCTTTTTATTGAAAGTGGGGGCTAAAAGGAAAGAATTAATCCTAAAACTTTTATTTTACAATGTCTGAGGATTTCTGTTGACTCCTAGCTCTGGAATGATTTACTTTTTTTTAACTTTGAAAAGGCATTGGTCCAGATGGCCACATTGCATTCAATGAACCAGGATCAAGTTTGTCTTCAAGAACAAGATTAAAGACTTTAGCAATGGACACCATTTTGGCAAATGCTAAATACTTTGATGGAGACTTATCTAAAGTACCAACTATGGCGCTAACAGTTGGTGTGGGTACAGTGATGGATGCTAGAGAAGTAAGAACTCATTTAGTTTCAGTTGCATGTATCTATTTACAAAACTGTAGCTGGTATCAATACTAGGATTGAAAGTAAACAGAGACCATTCTTTTGCAGGTGATGATTCTTATAACAGGTGCACATAAAGCTTTTGCACTGTACAAAGCAATTGAAGAAGGGGTCAATCATATGTGGACAGTTTCTGCTTTCCAGCAGCACCCTCGCACTATCTTTGTATGTGATGAAGATGCTACTTTAGAACTAAGAGTTAAAACTGTAAAGTACTTTAAAGGTGAGCACTGAATCAGAACAGTTACCCATATTTGAAAACTAAATTTAAAATTATGTTAAGTCTGGGCTTTCCAGCACATTAGAGTAGCTAATGTATAATGTTATATATTCAAAATATGAAATGTTAGTGCTGTTCCCCTCAAGACAGAAGTTAAGACACATCTTGTGCTCCTGACGTATGAGGTCAGCGTATGTCAGTTGATACTTCTGAACAAATCTCCTTTGAATAAGATCTTTTCTTTGCTCCCAACTTGAAACTGTAGTAGAGTAATCTTCAACTGTATGTTTAGAAAACAGCAGTCTTTGTCTAGAATACTGGTCTTAAACATGCTGGAAAGTGTTTCACTTGCAGAAAGCTTGATACATCTATTAATCATGATATATTTCATGATATTTTTGTTATAACTTGTTTTGTTATGACTGGCAAATTTGGTATCTTGTATAGCCTTGTCTAGTAAACTTGATATGTGATACAGGCTTTGAAGTGATACGTCTTGCACACAGTGTGGTTTGCACAACAATCTATACTGGCTCTTAATACAGTGCAAACACTGCTTACTGTGTTTGCAGTCGGTATATTTGAGTAGGTTTAAGGTAACTGAATTTTTCATAGTCATTGAGAATTCCTGCTTACAAGTTTTGCTCCACTGAGGCTGTGTAAGCTGAGAAGAGTGTTGCTATGCTAATATAGGTGAAAACAGAAAAACTCTGTTTGCATCACAACAGTCTTTCTCATTTGAATTTTTACTATTACTGAGGTATCTAAGATCTAGACTGTTATTTATGAAATTACTGTGAGTATTGTACCACTGGTTGTCCATAGATGCATTTGATCGCAAAATCTGGCATTAATTTGATTTTTATCATATCACTTGGAGGTAATGCTTTAATTTTGGATTTTTCAGTTTGTTATTCTTTGCACATTGAGGAGGGATAGTCTTCACCTGCATCACACTACTAGATACTACTTACTGCTGTTTTCAGAGCTAACCTTTAAAAAGTTTAGACTTGTATCTAGATGCATCTAGACTCATTGGATGAATTATAAATCTTCTGTGGTATTCATACAAACAAGCTTTATCTGGAAAAGATATAAACATACTAATGTAGAGTTACTAGCTATGACACTGATATTCAGCGTTGATTTAAAAAAACTAAGGGCTACAATATGTGAATATATGCTATTCTTTCATACCGTATTTAATTACCCTGTAATATATAGTGATAGAATTTTTAGAGATTGATTGATCAATGAGGAAAACTGAGCCCATTTAAAGCAATTTGAGTTTTTTCATTTTAAGATGGAAGAAAAATCACTTGTCAAATCTGGAATTCATTCTGAATCTTGATCTCCAGGTTAAACTTAAAATGCTAGGTGGTTCTTAAGGACTGCTAATTATGGTAGTTTATTACTGCAATTTCACACCATTTTAAAAAAGTCAAGATACTATATGAAACTTGTTAGATAATAAACCATCATGCTGGCTGATAGCTAGAATAACTTTTATTCACCTGTACTTACCCATAACTTTCTGAAAGCTTATTAGAATAACTTTTATTCACCTGTACTTAATAAGCTTTCAGAAAGTCATGGGTAAGATACTGACATTATCAAGTCTACTTAAACTCCCATAATGGAAAGGGAAGGTTAACTTCTATTTACTGCTTTGGAGAGTGAGGCCAAACTAATTTGTTAAATTTATTAATTAGTCTGCAGAGAAGAGTTAATGCACGAAAGCTTTCTCCATACCTGTGCATGTTTCTCTGAAACTATATACACATGCATTTATTCAAAGAATACTTGGGTTGAATAGGTAGTGAAACTTTTCCTTTGAAATAAAGAATTTCAGGGGGTTTTTGCCTCTGTCAGCAAGGAACTCTTCCATGTAAATATCAGCTCGTGTTTATAGCTCTGTTCTCGAAATAAACTTTAACCAATAGGATTTAAATATCCTTCCATAAAATATGGCAGTGGCAGTACTTTGCAAGTCTTTTTCATGCCTCTAGGAACAAGTAGGGAATTTTCTCCTCTTCCCTTCCTTTAGAAAAGAAAAACACTGATAGAAAGTGGAGTGCTGTGAAGTTTATACCATGGTTCTAATTTGAATAGTGACTGCAGCGGTTACTTTTTCTGCATCAATCACTTTGATATCAAATGTCTACTTAGTATTTTTCCCACTTCCTATCGAACTTCTTGGAAACACTACTGACTTTCTTTCCCTTGTATGCCAAAGAAATACTTATGCTCCATGAAATCTGAGAAACTCTTCAGTAGTACTATAGTTATGTTGTGCAAAAGAACCTTGAAGGCAAAAATCTGAAGCTGAGGTCTTTACCTTAGACAGAGAACAAAGTTCTTCAGCCAGTTCTAGCTGTTCACTTTCAGTATGGCTAAATGTGTTACTTAAGGGAAAAAATTATCTACATTAAGGGAACAGTATCTGCATTTTTACATTAAATAACTGTATACAGGTTGGAAACAGATGCTGCATGGTGTGGTGTGGCACTTAAAGTAACAACCTCAGATTAAATTTGAATATTTAACTATACAGTGTTGCTACAGTGACAGTGAACTTACCACATGATACATCATGGGTATTCTTGGCTACAGATGATCTTTGGGATGTGCCCTACTGCTGAACTTGAGTTTCAGGGTTTTTAAGAAAATCTCTCTATTCTTAATATTACATATTACTTAAATTTGTGTAACTATAAGTTAATCTTCAGTTTGGTGCTAGACTGGACTCTTAATTTTCAGATTACTGAATATAATTACTGCTGTTTTGCCATTAAGATGGCATGAGGTTAGAACCATCAAAGTGATTAAATATCATATAGAGATGTAGGTGACACTTTTACTAAATCAGCTTTAAAAAAAGTAAAGAATGCTGCTGCACCTTTTTGATCTCTTTTCCTCACACTTCCCAAAATTAGGGTACGTGATAAAAATACTCCCCTGCTTACACTATGGTGACTTGTATATGACCAAAATAAATCTGCTAGGATATTAAAAAAAAATTGAACTACTGAAGTTCTGAGTCTGCATTATTAGTCCAGGTATTTTTAGTTTTCTTCTGTCTAGGACCACAATTATAGCATTAATCACAAAGATAGTAATGACCCAGCATAGAGTGCCACAATTCAAGCTGTAAACATAGGATTAAGAATAAATCTGACTTTTATTACCAATTATGGAGTTAAGGAAATGTTGACATGGCTGTCGCACAGTTTTTAGCTTACTACAAAGGAGAGATGGATTAATTTCTATCACATACTTAATTCATTTGGAAATACTCCAGATCCATTTTCTGACTAGTCTGCTACCAGATAGGCTGGAATTGTGAGATGTCTTTCATATCCCTGATCAATTATGCTGAAGATGTCAGTAGTATTTCTGACTGATACAGGAATAATGCTAGCTAACTTCTGATCTTAAAATACTTTGCATGACCAGTCTGCTTTTCAGTTAACTGTTTGAAATGTATACTTGATGAAATAAACTCCACAAATAAAAATGTGGATAGAAAAAAACTTGTTGAAAATGTTATAACTAATGTAAAGCTGGCATTGTTGCTTTCCCCCCCAAGGTTTAATGCATGTGCACAATAAACTTGTGGACCCACTGTACAGTATGAAAGAAAACTGAAAGAAGAATTGAGGAGGAAGTCCATGTGGGTGAACAACAACGTTTTTTAGGTAGCAGATGAATTTACTGCTATGCAATATGCTGAAAACTGGCTAAAATGGGGAATCCTAGGTACTGTATTTTTTTAAAAGGTCCAATATCTGTACATTGACATTCCATATCTATTTGGTGTTGTACATTCTGTTTTAACGTTTGGAGCTCTGTCTTTAGCTGTTACAGTAACTATGTGGAACAGAACAAACCTATTGCAGACTCTGTATGTTGGGGGGTGGAAGCAGCAGAGTACTCATTACATTGCTGTAAATGTCTGTGTTAAGGAATGATGCTTTATTTCCAAGCATTTGTACTTTTTGGCTTCATTAGTGCAATTATACTTTGCATTTGTGTCTCTAGGCAGAATGGTTTTGCCCTTTGTCAATACTATTGATGTGTAACAGTTGCACAACTTTTACTATGAAATGTTCTGTTTACATATATCAAATGCACACTGAGCTTTTGCACTTGGTTGCCTTAAATTTATCTTGTACAAACAGTTTTGGGGCATCTCAAGTCCTACTGTACAATTCAGGCAAATAAGACTTCAAAACAGTGCCTAAAAATGCACCCAATCCTTCAAAGTGATGTAACAACCTACTCCAGCTACAAACATTAAACTTCTGCTGTGGCACTTTTTCTTCTCATGTATTCCAAATTACTTTAGGATTTTTATATTTTTGGTAATTGAGCTTTATACATAAGAAATTTAAATGCTCCTTTCTGGAGATAAACATGTATCACTGATGTTCCTATTATTAAATGCCTGCAAAGAGGTTAATTTACAGAAGATCAGTGTCTGCAAGTTTAAATGATCATGCATTAAAAACAATTGTTACCTGTACCACTTTGCAATAGTTGCTTCTCCTTGTGTCACTGTAAACATTGAATTGTTACAAGAAATCCTACTTGTATTAAAAGTAGGAAGTAAAACTTAACTGTCTTGACATGATAGATTTATATTTGTTTCTAATGTAAGTTATAAGGACTAAATACTTCTGGGTTTCATGGAAAGGTTTACTTAGCTTTGCTTCCTCTTTTACATAAGTAGTTAAGAGCCTACTGATCTAGGTGTATTATAGAAACTGACTACATTATGTTGGATCAGCTGAAAAGAATATTCCTAATTGCATAAACATTGTGAACAAATAAATATGAGGTAAAGTTACTTGTATTGTATCACACTAGTGGCAATACTTGTCTGAGAGGGTCTAAGAATGTATCTGCCTTTTCATGAATAGTCTTCAGTTGTCTTATTAACAAGAGTTGGACAACAGAGGCTTTCACTTGTAATTTGTGGAGTCTGCTATATACAGAACTCCATGCTAACCCCTGTAAATTCATGACTTCATTTTTCTATACTACTAAACTGTTTCTACCTATTAGGTCTGCCCTTGACATACTTGCAATTGCTTTCTTATGAAATACCAATTCCTCTGTGAAAGTACCTTCTAAACTGTTCAGTAACTGAAAATAAGTTAATTATCTTAGGAAGTTGCATTAAACTTAAACTGTTACCCTTGTTACCCTGCAGTCTGTTGTTAAAATCTAAATAGTAAAGTAAGTATTTTCAAGCTCAGTAAGTCTTAAGTTATGGTTTCTTTGGTTTAAAAAAAAGTAACTCCTAATTTAGCCTGAGACATCTACTTTCACATTTTACTTAAAAGCCTTAGCTTTTTTTTTTTTTGCATATGTTTAAAGGAAAGAGTTTAAATCTGTGACTTTCTGGAATCAGATTTTTTTTGTCACAGTAAGAACTACTACTTCATTTATTGTTCTACAGTTAAACAGTACTATCCAGTTCATTTAAAATCCTTGCTCACAAAACTGACATCATTAGACTAGGAATCTTTTTTTCTGTTTCAGATACTACTATAAGGGCTAAAAGGCTGAGTTTCAGTCTCAGTCCCAAGGTAGCATTACCTATGCATTTAACTTAAACTTTCATAAAGACTGTCTAATTAAAGTTACTTCTTGGATAACCTCTAGCTTACCTTTAATTTCTACCCTTCTCTTCAGCATAGAGCTAGACTCTTCTCTCTGCCTTTGGGTTTACTTAAAGAAAAAAAAGAAAGCTTTAGGAAAAACATCCTTTGTTCTCAGCAAATACCACTGTCTCTGGACTTTCTTAAAAATGTAGCTCTGTGGTGCACTCCTGGGTTTTTAGGGGGAGGAATAATATCAATGCTAGCCTTTGTCCATAGTAGCTTTCCTTTCTTTGAGAGAAGTATTAGTCGCAGCAGCTTATGTAGCTTTACCTTAGAGATTATGGAATACTTTGTTCACATCCAGATCTCTGATTTTTCAGTACAGCTAAAATACCTTAACTTTTCAACTTTTTCTTTTTTAAATTTGAAACTATCAAAATTCCCTCCCCATTTTTTCCCCTAGACTTTTGAGAATAATCTGTGTTGAAAGAAATTTTTGTGGCAACAATTCAGAATCTTTAATAAATGCCAACTTTGTTAAAGAATATCCATAAGTTACTGTTATGATTTTTTGCCACAGTTTGTTTCTCATGCAAGGGCTTACAATGCCAAAAAAACACATAACTGCTGTATTAAAATAATTAAGTATAGAAAGTATGAAACATCTGGAAAGTTATAATAAAAACTTTCTGATTCAGTAACAAATGAAATAACTTTAATTTCATAATAACTTACAAATATCTGTACATTTTTAAGCATATAGTCCTTTTGTTTGTTTATATCTAACTCATCCTTTTAAGTCAAATTTTGCTCCCTCTCCCAGTGATAAATTATACATTAACTCATCTTGCTACTGCCAAGAAAATTTTGAGAGAAAAGTCAACTGCATGTTGCTGATTTATTTGTCAGACTGTCTTTTTAAAACATGTATAAAGGCATCTTTTGGTACTTCCACGTTGCCAATCTTTCTCATCAACTTCTTCCCTTCTGCCTGCCTCTTTAAGAGCTTCATTCTTCTTGTAATGTCTCCACCATACTACAAAAAGGAAAAAATATTTTAGTAAGTTTAAATGCAACTACAGTACATTTCAACAACTAAATTCAAGGACTTGAACAAAAATGCTCTGAAAGGCTAATTATATTATTCATGACATAAGATTCTCTTCTACTCCAAATAGTTATCCCAAAAGACCACTACTTAAAAAGAATGCGAGCAAGCAAGTAGTTTCATTTGGACAATTAAAGGTAGATTCAGTGACCTGAATATAAATTCATATAAGCCTGTCTGACGTTTCAGACAACCTACAGGAGATCCAAATTCTTTTGGAACAGCACCTGGAAGCCAGGTCAGATACACTGTGGCATCTTGGAATGGCAGTAGGTACATATGTTCAGATAAGTGAACTGAACCCTTACACATGTTGAATAGTCAGCATCTATTTCATGATGTATGTGCCTGTCGTAAGAATTCTTACAAGTTTTAAGAAAGGGGCAGTATTTCTTTAATCTCTTCAACGTGTTAGCTTCAGAGTTCTAAGGACAAGATAACTAAGAAGCATCATGTTTTTCCTATAGCTTTTTCCAGTCTTACTCATTGTCAAGTATTGCATTTTTAAAGTCTTGTCACGATTAATCAGTGAAAACCCCAAGTAAAAGTCTAATCACAATCAGTATCTGAAGAAGCACTTTTATACTTTATATATTTACATATTACTTGAAAAAATAATTTAGGAAATGTGTGAAATTATACATTTGCATGTATATACACCCCCCCCATACACCTATGTTTACTATAGGTACACAACTATTAAAAGATGAGAAGGAGACAGGAGTGAACACAGACATGGTACCTGTTCAGTTCACTGTAAGCATTCAGCTTTGAAAAAGCCATTACTTTTTCAGAACCACACTTAACTGCAAACATCAGCTAGAAGTTATAAGAACTAAATTTTAAAATAAAAGCTTAAAAGTATCTGATAATATTCCATTGATATTTAGGAGTACAAGCAGCACATTTATTTGGTTTCTGCAGAAAGACAGATATGCCCATCACATTAGCAAGAGTCCCAGGTTTGCATGCATTAGAAACCTCAAAAAGATACCTACACATTTTGCCACAACATTTTTTCTGTAAGCTTTCAGCCTGAAAAATAGAATACCATAAGTATGTCAACATATTAGTGGATCTCTTATACGTAGTGCTAAATATTGAGTTGCCAAAATGCTGAACATTGTATCCTACCAAACTAGTAGAAAAACATCAGTATCAAAATATAGTTTCTTATTTTATATACAGAACTCAAAGCTCCAAGAGCTCTTAAAAAGGTGTATAATTACACATAAAAATTAAAATTTTTTAATCAAAGTTTTCTGCTATGATTCACAGTATTCCTTAGTGTTACATGTGTACATGTGTATAGCTATGCACACACACAAATTCTCACAGCAGATCTTAATCTTCTGCTTGGATCTCTATCTTTAATTCTTTTACCACAGTTTAAATCCCATTTCAACAGCAACAGCAGAAATACAGCACAAACACAATTAAGGAAATTGTTCTAAAGGAAGTGCTACTGCTAAGCAATAGTTGCGCATGCTTGGCTTGCAACACATTTTGTTTGGAATTGCACTGTTCAGTTCTTTTTTTGCTGACTCTTCCAGAGATTCAGCTGTTCTACAAATAGCTAATTTTTTTTCTATTGGTCAGAGACTTTTTCCACAGCCAAAAAGGAAGTGGACACATGGGTACTGCAAGTAATACTCCATCTATTAGGTGCAATGCTGACCACAAACAATTTAAAATAAAATATGTTTTTTTCAGTTAATCTTACAGGAAGGGTAAAGGAAAGGGTAAAACGATTCCACTTACGTTTCTCTTGCAATGATTTTCTTGCCAATAGCAGCCTGGATGGCTATTTCAAATAACTGTCTAGGTATAGCATCTTTTAAACGTTCACACAGGAATTTACCGGTGGCATATGCCTTATCACTGAAAGAGAAAGTCACTAGTCTTTTTAGAAGGACCAATACAACCTCAAAATATATCTGTAGAACAGAATGTTCGAGAAAATGATTTTTATCATCTTTTACCCTCAAATATAAGCTGGCTAGATCATAATTTTGTATCTCATGAGTGATTGCTTTATGCCACCCATTTCATAAAACAGGTAATAGGATTACGTTAACAAAAGGTCTTCAAGTAAATTAAAAATATTCATAATACACACATCAATTGTCTTATACTAAAGCCATACCGAATACTGTCACAGCTTCAACTGCCATTTTAAACTGGAAGGTCAAGGAAGATTTTTATTGATTTTTGGACTTGTAGTCCTACATAGGAAAAAACATTTTGAAAACTTTTTTTCCGGATTAATTTTCTTGATTAATTTTAAAAGCTGTAAACAGGAAGAAATTATTCCCACCAGCAAATGAGGAATTCCTGAGAAACTGATTATTCTTTGCGTAGGGAAACTGAATCATTTTAGCAAACATTTCTGAGATAACTGCATCCAGTAAATGTTTGTATTCTCCTGGAAGTCTGGCTGGAGACAAGATAACAACAAACTTGCACAGAACAGAAATGACTGGGGGCATAAAACCAAATTTTTCAGTTTTTCAATACTAAACAATAAAATACTGTAAATGGCACATCTGGCATCTCCAAGACGGGTCTGTCTTTCAACTTTTCCAGCCCTCCAGAAGATTGGCATTTTGTATCTTCTTCTTCTTAGCCCACCCACATTATTATTGATACGTTTTATCTAGCTTTTAAATTGAGAATGGGAAGCAGAAAATTGTTGAGCTTTGTTTTTTTTAAACTGAAATGTATTCCCTAATTCCTCCCTAATTATAAAATGCCTCTCTTTTTCAGATCATCTCCGAAAGTGGTGATGTGGTGAAATTTTCAATGCTGTGTTCATATATATTCATCATAGGATATATATTGTCATTGTATATTAATAAGAAATCTAATTATTTGAAATAGAGAATCCAGTCAACCTACTTGGGTATGATAGTTGCCAGTTCTTCAACTGGATTTCCATTTAGAAGAATGTCCATTTTGATAAGGTCTGCTGCCTGGTAACCTGCATCCTCATAATCAAAACTAAAAGAAAAGCAATTTAAAAGTTAGTGGCAACTTTGTGAAAATTGTATTCTGTATTCTTTGTTCCAGATATTTTAAGTTTTGTACACACTTTTTAATGAAACATTTCAACTTTGTGCTCCTACTTTATTAAAAGTTGAAAAGTTTTTAAATAGCGTCTCAATAGGTCACCCTTCTGCAAAAATGGATGAGCAATTTACTGCAGATAAATCTTTTCTCCAAGGCAGCAGAAGACATCATCCTCTCTTTCATATTACAGCTGCTGAGCAGGGTAAATCAATCAAGAATCTACATTCTTACTGCACTCACTCAGAGTTTATCCAAATACAGAGAGGCCTCTCCTATCAGTTGAAAGTTCCTTAAAGCTCAAATCGACTGAGCCCTTCAGAGCTTTTAGACAGCATCCTTGATGTCACAGGCCTCAAACACTAGCACGGGACTGTTTCCTTTTCATCCTCCCATTTGACAGACTTTTTGTATGGCCCACATTATTGTTATCTCGGGCAACCAAGTTCCTCTCTTCATTTCTAACCCCATTCTTCCAAGCCATGTTTCTCTTCTGGTAGAGACGGGCTTGTTATCTATGTGTTGCTTGACAAGAATTCTTAAAATGGAGATGCAAAGTTCTACAGTAGATCACGTATATTTTGTATGTAAGTATAAAAGTGGAGAATGCCAACACCATTAAATATGGTCAGATCTGAAATATCAGAGGAAAAAAGAAAGCTCTGAGAGTACTTTAAAGTACTTCTGTCTTAATAGGCTTAGATAAACCTTTGCATAGTTGTGTGAATAAATATATTAGAAGCGTTAATACATAAGCAAGATTAGATTGCCAATTAGGAAATAAAAATCAAGAAATATGATAGGGCTGTATTGATTGCTATCACACCTGAATAAAAGGAAATCCAGCATAATTCTGGTAATGGCGGGGGCGGGGCGGGGTGGGGGGGGAAGAGAATCTGCCTGTTTTTTCTACCTACCATCTTCCCTTATGCTTCTACTTCAAATATACACAAACCCTACCTAAAAGGTAGGTTTCCCTTATCTTCACAAGGTATATTTAAGGAAACAGAGAATAAATGAAGTTCAGTACTTCAGTGGCATTTGTTATATTTTAGGCTTACAAAACAGAGAATGGAATTAATCCTGTTAAAGCATAACATATCTTACTAACAGAATCTCTGCCCATAACGTTTATAAGAGTCACTGAGACTCCTGTGACATAACCCCATCTGCCTTGCAGCATTTTCCCTTCAATTACACTCAAAGGCTCTGAACAAGCAGCTGAGCATTGTTCTAGCATCTGAACTTACAAAATCCACCTACAGGAGACGTAATTAACACAGTAAGAAGTATGTTTTCAGGGACTCCTTTGATAGACAATGCCCATTCTCTTGTTAGATGAGCAAGACTCATCTAGGTTAGTGAGTGCCACCCTATATGGCACACTTGAAAAATACATTCCTCTTCTTGTCAGGCTTGTAAGATAGGGATACATGTTAAATGATGCTCAGAGTTATTTCCACTCTTTTTCACAGTGAATCTAATTTATTAAAGGTGAAATAAGACTCGGTTTGCAGCACCAATATTCCTTCCTTGGGCCTTTCCACGACTTCTTCTCAGATCCTTTTTTTCTTTCCCTGCCTCAGGGGACTGGGGAAGGAGAGAAGAACAGAAGTTGCTGTTACCTTGCATAACCAGAAGACAGAGATTTAAGAGCATCATAAAAATCCACCACAATTTCATTCAGTGGAAAGAGGTATTTCAGCATAACCCTGTGTTCATCAATGTACAGCATATCCTTCTGGACTGCCCTGCGATCCTAGACAAATAAAAAGTGTTTCAGTTCCCCTGGACAGAAGTGTCCTACAAAAAAATAAACAGCTATCCAGTTACACTAGAAAACTGCAACACTTAAAGCCTCAAGGTAACTTTTCTTGTTAGTTTGATTAGGTCCCAGAACAAATAAGGAATTGCAAAACGGTAATTAAAGAAATAGCTGTAATTTAACTAGACAAATGGTTCAAATCTACCCCTTTCTAAAAGCTGAATTTCTGAAATCCTTGAAACACCTCCTGCTTACTGCTGCCTTTTAAGTGGATAGGTATTATGGTCACAAACTCATTCACTGAAATTAGGCTTTCACATTCAGTAGAGTATTATGCACAAGGACTGGCAGGCTCATCTTCTTTCCTGCCAGCAGGAAAAAATGTATTTTGTGAATTCTTTTGAATAGATCTTCTGCTTCTATGAGCTGACACAGATGTACTGCATTGTTTCGTAGTGCACCACTTGAAATGCTAAGATTAAAAGCTAAGACAAGTATTGCAAAGAAATTATATGAAACTGGTATCTATGACATTTAAAACTTTTTCACTTAAAATACGATTCAGATGCACTCGGGGGACATGTTTGGCCACCACCATTCTGAATGTACTTCAGCGAACTACTGAAAACATGTATAAGGCCTCAGCAAAACGTTGACAGAAGTCAGGTTTAAAGTGAATTTATTTCTAAAAACTAATAGATATTATTCCCCTGCTGCAGATTTTGTTTTCTTTCAAGAAAACAAAACTAGCTATAATTTTTTCTGCTACAGGATGCTGGAGCAGGTATTCTGTTGTCACTGAGTCTGAACACTAACTTTCACTATAAGCATTTGGTAGTTCAGAAGTAATTTTATATGTAAGCTTAAAATATTTATTCTCCTTCAATAAATATATTTAATAACTACTGTCCAAAGATACTGTTCACTAATATTTAATATGTCACTATCTAATATCTTCACTATTATTTAAGTGCCATAAAGAACTTATCAACACAAATGACAAAACTAAAATTGAATACCAACCTGGCACAGAGCAATTATTTTCCCAATATATTGTTGAGGTGTTACAACAGTACCAAGAACAGTTGGCTCCAAATATTCAGATACTGAAAGCTTATCAGGAAACTGAGCAGGGCTGATAATAGTAATCTCTTTTTTACCATATTCCTGGAGGGAAAACAAACAAAATACCCCACAGACACTGTGATTTTTACAAATAACTATTCTGAATTATACATTTAGAAAAAAAATTAGAGAGAGATGAATATAGCATTGAAAAAATGCTATAAATTTGTTCAGTTGTTTGGGAACACCTGAGAGTTACACAACCCAAATTCATACCAAGCCTGATTTTAAAAAAGGATTTCTACGTCACATAAAGAAGTCCTTGATCAGCATATCTTTAAATATGTCATCTAGATCATCATCCCTTGTGTAATGAATGGGGAAAAAATGGTTTCTCCTACAGTTTGATGAAAAAGCAAACTATGAGAACAAAACATAGCACTTCATGTTTTCAGTCTCCTCAGTTCTGTATAGTTCTCCATTTCAAAGGTCAGTTTCATGCATTACTTTAATTCAGTCTCTACAGATAAAATTAGTGAGTCTTTCCAGTTACAATTATACATAATGTGTAACGTCATACTTTGTAAGTACAGTGGTAATTCACAGACTCAAAAACTCACTGAAGATTGGACTTGCTTCTTTGGAATATATTAGAATTTCATGTTTGAATCATCTGAGCATGATTTTTCATGATCCAGTACTGAACTTTAATAACAAATGAAGTCAACAGTTCGATTCGTGACCATATTTTAACCCTCCTGCCACCATCTCCCCCAAACAAAACTGGAAGTACTAGAAGAATGCTATTTTCTATAATTTGGGTTAAACCTGGTTGCCCAAGGTTTTTTGAAAAAGATTATAGAAATTATTTTTCACTAGAGGGAAAAAAAAATGTTTTTAAACATTTTATCCAGTGACTTCTAAAAGCAAAACTGGAGTAAGTACTTGGAGCTAGGACTAGAACCCAGGGTTATCTATACAGAGAAATCTTTTTGTCTATCTCTCCATCTCTCTTGCCTAGAGAGCAAGGATCCTCCTTGTTACTCCATTCTAATCTTGTAAGGTCTTTCTGCAGAGCTTTGGCCCAGTTTCAACAGAAGATCTGCTCCGAGTCATTCTGTAGTTTGGTGCTGTGGTCGTTCTACTGTTAGTAGAACTTTAGGTTCATGCTCTTACAGACTGAAGTGGGCTTAGAACTTAAGTCAGCAATTCCTGCACGAGTGCTTTCACTACCTATTTTTTCTAGTCCAACATCTCTTTAGGAACTGGAGTTCTTCTGGAGTAGGAAAAAAAAAAAAAAAAAAAGGTGGGTCACACTCCCTGCTGCGTATATGCAATCCTCCATGCACCAAAGCAAGCAAATACATCACCTCTACTGTCAAGAGAGTGTTCTAGAACAGGGACCCAACTTCCATCACTGTTAAGGCTGGAAACCCACTAATTCATAGCAGCTGCAATGCCTAAGTAAGAAGCCAAAATAAATGGAGAAAACCAGGGTCTGTGTCTCATAACCTTGCAGGTACACCAACCTTGTTACATAAACTGTTTGGAATAATCAGATTTTCTTAATATTTACAGGTACATGTTGGATAATCAGCAGTTAACCTATTTGCAGCTTCCTCTGCCAAGAGATGCTCATAAGTCTTTCTCTGTTGAGTTCTAAAACCAGACACACGAATTTTCTTTGCATCCAGGACAAAGAGGTTTGCGTATTCCTATTTCACCATGATCAGGCTCCCTTGTCTCCACCTGCCCCCTGCCACCATCGACAGTAGCATGACAAGCCACTCCTCAAAACATTCCTGGTTTCTGACATGTGAAGTCTGTCTGGAAGTATTATTTCACCTGTTTGCAATTCAGCTCAATCAGTAGGCGCTTAAAAGCGTACAGCAAGAAAGGTGTCCTTTATCCCCCTTTTCAGCTATTTTCAAGGACGGGTGTAAGTCTTAAAAACAGTGCTTGAAGGCAAAAGGGGAAGGAAAATTAACTTAAGAATTATTTTAATAGAATATTTAAGGAATGTTAAATATCAGTGATGCTAATGTTTATTTTAAAATAAAGCACTACTACACATTTCAAAAGTGCAGATGTTTATTACAGGAGATTTTTAAACTACCATTGACATAAAGCTGTGATAAATTTAACATACCTTTATCAACTTTGCTGAGGAAAGAATAGCTTTATATGGAACAGTAGGTGAAGTCAAAATAACAGACATATTATATTCTTGCTCCAAACGTTGATTAAAAACTTCCATATGTAAAAGACCAAGAAAACCCAACCTGGAAAAGAAAAAATCCTGTCATTCAAAGTACGTGTATATCTCCTGGAAATCTAATTTACCCTCCCCCACCCCTTAGTATGTTTACACTGCTGATGTGGCAATATGAAACACAGTGAATCTCCAAAACACCAACTCAATGTCCTACAGTTAAAAAGAATGAGTCTTCAAGAACAAAAACTAATCAGTCACAACAAATTGCATGCTCTGTGCAAATGCAAGCATAAGAAAATCACATTGTCAATCTTTACCTATCATAAATTCTATTTAAAGCTCCTAAACTTGAATTAATTTAAATTCAATTTTCATTTGACTTAAACCTGCATTAACAATTTATAAACAGTATGAAAAACCAACACAGCATAAAAACCTCACCTCCATCCAGCTCCTAAAGCAGGGCTACTGTCACGATGAACACTTACACTGGAATCATTCAGTGTCAGTCTTTCCAAAGCACTTTTGAGGTTATTATATTCTGACTGGTCTAAAGGATACATTCCTGTCAAATTAGATTGAAATAATGTGATAAAGAGATTTATCTGGTCTAGCGTGTACTTAATTTTCAAATATGCCTCTTAGAGTGAGCACAGTAATGAAATTAGAAATAGCTTACTTCTGTTCCAAATCAAATTTTAGACTTTTCTGAATGCAAAAACAGAATAAGGATAATATTTTTTTTTTCAAAAATCAGAGATAAAGTTACAGTTAAAATATAATAAAGTTTTAGATTACCTTGAAAAAACAAGGATTAACACTCAAACGATAATTCTAGGAATACTGTGCTCAGCTAATCCTTCACAGTTGTGGAAGACGCACAAAAGCATACAACCATTCTTTTGCAGGGCTGCTATGTAAACCTGATGCTAAACAAATAAGCAGGCTAATTCCTCCAGGGTGCTCCTTCAAAAATACTAGTGGCAAAAGAGTGTGTCATACAAAACTATCAAAGTCGCTAATGTTTCTGGTTTTTTTTTTTTTTGAAATGAATAAAAGGAGCTGTCTGTATAATTAACACTCAAAACAGTTTCTACTGCATGACTACCACATTGCCATGTGTTCAGACTACACCAAGAAGCAACACATGGACATGAAACAGTTATCTGCAGGACCCCTTCTACATTCCCTGGCAGTAAGCATATCATCCATGAGCTAGTCCAGATGAGTTTTGTCCAAGTGAGTTTTACCCATTCCCTCATAACAAGTCTTAAGAAATGGTACTTTTCTCTGAAGTCATCTTTCATAATATCTGTTGCGCTTACTGAAGCGAAAGATGGTGGCAACAGCTCAAGAGAACCACTCAACCTTACAGTCAAGTATTCTACAAAATCATTTTGAAAATTAGCTTTGGTAGTTTATCACATTTAATGACATTTAACAAAAGTGAATGAAACAGCTGCTAGTTTTTAAAAGAAAAAAAAACTTAATAAATGATAGAAACCTGATTATCAAGATGAAGAGTTCCTCATTTTTCAAAGTCTCAGCCTTTCTTTTCCAGCTATCAAGACCATAGTGGCCGTAGAAGCAATAATCACGGCTAAAACTAAATGTTAGTCTTGTATTCATGTAAAACCAGTCTGCAACAATCATTAGGCCTATCTGGAAAATTAAACAAAGCTATATAAAGTGCCCCTCTAGCTTAACCTTGCTCAAATTCTCATCCTCACAACTCTTAATACACACATATATTCTTTCAGAAGCTCTAGTACTTACTCTTGTTACTAGCATTCCAGTTTTAATCAGTTTACTCCTCACCTGCAAAGACCATTGGTTTCGCTGACTTAAAGCCAGGCAAAGGCTCCACTGGCTGTTTATGCATAAACAGCGTGTCTCCTATTTGGGCTTCCGTTACCTCTTTCATGCCAGCAATCAGGTAGCCCACCTGTCCAGCATATCTAAATAAAATGTGCATTATGTGGAGATGCTTCTTGTAATTATCAGTTTTACCAGTATTCTTCCCCACTGAATTCACCCAATCAGAAATTCAAATAATCCATCCCCCAAAAGCCCATCCACAATCCAAAAGCCAAATTTAAGCTGTTTCTCCTCTGATTTGTAAACTTTGTCTCAAGAAACAAACTATCTGTTGACTGAAGTGGCTGTACTTCTGTTACAGTTAAATGATACATTTAGTTTTGGATTTTCAGTTCTGCACTATTCCCAATTTGAAAGTAGGAGCTAGAAGGAACTTCAAGGGTCTAAGACACAGAAGCCAGAACAGTTCCCAGCTGCCATACCACAGCATGTTTCATATACTAAACAGAAGAAAAAGACAAATGCCCTCCATAAGCACATAATGCTGTTAGGACAGGAACCCATGATACATAGTAAGCACGGGTAAGACACACTAGCCTAGTCTCACTGAGAGTCGCCACAGAAATTTATTAATACATACTTGGATGCAAACTGACAAAGCTTCCTCACTAATTCTAAGTACCTGATTTCCCTCCCACTGCTGCCATGAGGAGAGAGTTTCCAGAAGCTGCTGCATTCATGAATTTAAAGCTTTTTCCCCACAATATATGTCGCAATAATAACTAAGAGGAAGCCCCATTCCCTTCCACTCTCAAACAAGGTAGTGGTTAGAAATAAGTTGGACAGCTGAATAAGAACATCAAATGCTAGTCTGAAAACTGTCCAGATGCTCAGTATACTATAGACTCACTGATACGATGGCTTCCTTCCTCTCTATTATCAGCTCATTGCCATCAGAATATTTAGGTAGGAAAAAATTGCAAAATAAAATTAGGGAAAAAAAAAAAAAACAAGAAAGTACAACTTAAGCAAAAACAGTTTTGCAATAATTCATCCTGAAAGCCCTAAAAATATTTAGTGCAATTGCTTGAAGAAAGAAAATCTTCCTTTTAACGATAAATAAAAGCCCCCTTTTTATACCTACTGCCAAAAGATTAACTTGCATTACTACCAATAATTTTTAAAGATACTGAAAAAGACCTTTACATTACTCAACAATTTTTGAAAAATGTGACTCTAGTGTAATCATGGCAACAGAATTATATCACTCCTTTGAAAACCCTGGTGATTGATTTGTATTTCATATGTATAGCCCTCTCCAGTAAGATGTAAGATTATATCGCTCTTTTACAATGTTTGAACAGGATTCATGAGGGAGGTTAAAAGATTTTGCCACTTTTTTTTAATTTGAGTTATTGATCATTAACACTGATACATAATTAACTTCTTGAGAGACAGCAACATTTTTGAACAGTATTGAAAGAACTGTGTGAACTAAAACACTGCAATGCCATGGAGAAAATCTCAGTGTAGTTCCAGAACCACAGAGCTCCCTCCACGAGTGCATCAGGATTAAACAAACTACTGTAGAGATACTTCTACCACTAGATTGTACTGCACTGATTAAAGCAGACATGAATTTAATGACAGAACACAAGTCCTAGTGAGATTCAGGAAGCCCTCACTATCTCATTGCCATTTAAGAATTCCCACTCTGATTTTTTCATTACGGCTGACCAGAAACCATGCAGTAAGCTTCTGAGGCATTTTAGCTTTGTGTCTACCTGGCTGAAAAGTGGACAAATTGAAACACACGGAAGTTTTCACACACTATCCCCTTTGTCTTTTTGTTGATACTGTGAAGACAGGCTGGGAGACTGCATAAACATGAGGTGGACCTCAGCTCTGCAATGAGCTAGAAATAACTTATGCACGAATAACTTACACCATGGAATAACTTTCACAAAAGGTTGAGAAAGGTGTGTGGCTAGCGTTCATCTCCCAAAAAGCTTCTGCCTCAGCATGACTAAGACTGATATAAAGCTAAAGCATTCACTTACAAATAGTAATAAAAACCCCCCATCAAAAAACAAGAACAAAAAAATCCAAACCTCTCCCAGCTTTTACCACTCAAAGCAAAAATCGAACAAGTGAGCTAGAAATGCAGGATTTTGTATCTTAGTGTCACATTTTGTATCTCACACCAATTTATTATTTGTTCTACTCAAATAAAATTTTTACTTACAGTTTATGCGTTGGCTGTTCATTTGGAGTCAGTATTCCTACTTCATTAACTTCATACCTTTTCTTTGTGTGAGTAGATACAATTTTATGCCCTTTCTGAATCTCCCCACCAAAAAGTGCAATATTAGCTATGACACCTCGATAGTGGTCAAAGGTGGAGTCAAACACTAAGGCTTTCAGTGGATCAGTAGTATTGAATTGGGGTCTGTCACAAGAAGAAGAAGAAACGTAAAACCATATATTAAGCAGTGTGTTTTTAATTCCACAGTCCCAGTCCCCCCACTCCCAAAAGAAAAAACACTTTTGTATTATTATAGACATATAGACATTAATATAGACTCCATATTATTACTATGGAGTAATTTTCAGTGTAACACAACCATACCAGACCTCACTTCAGTGTTTCACTATGTAGGATGAAGCAAATCTTTTCACTTTATTTTCTCTATGTGCAGTAGGAGAACAAATAAACCAAAGACAAATGCGTATCCACCATCCCCATTTCCCAAGAGATGAAAGCAATTACTGAAATATTATTGATTGAATATTACTGATTATTGATGATAACAAACATTCAACAGTAACAATCCAACAACTGAGTTTTTTTTAAAAAAAAAAAAAAAAAAAGCCCACTGATATTTCAGTTTTGCTATCTTACATGGAAAACTAGTTTGGATTTTCTTTCTGGTTTCTTTTAACCAGAATCATTAGCTAATAAGAGGAAGCAGTACGCTGACTGAAACTGAACTGTAATTTAGCAGCTTTGTCATCAAGTTCTTAGATAAAAGTGTATTTTAAAGCTCAAATTTAGAATATGAAACTTTGTAAAGACAGGAGATTTCAATTACCTGTATCATAATAACAATGCAATGTTCAAAATGAAAAGCGCACAGGTTCTGAGACACTGACTTTCATAGGAAAAAGCAGAACTTGCTTTTAAATTGAAGCTATATAAACATTTATAAAAGTATCACTCTTAATGGCTCACTTCCCAGCTTTCATTTCAGACTGCATTCATTTTTCTCCCCTATTTCTTAAAAAGAATCTTCTCTGCTGATATTATGTGAAAATTTTACCACATCTACATACATATATTTTTAAAAATTATAGCAAATCTGAAGTCATTTTTCTGATTTGCATCATGAAACGCTGACTTATCCAGCTCATAAATTGGATTTCTCTCACATTTCTTTATAAATTGTTGACTTTAAATTGCTGACTTTAAATCAGAAAGACATCAAGTCCAAAAGTACTGCCAGTATACGGCACAAATGCAACTCAGTTTCCTTGTTAACCTTATAAGATTTCAAAACTAAATACAGAACTTACGGTGGAATCTTTTCAATGACTTTTTGCAGAACTTTTTCAACGTTTGTTCCTTGTTTAGCAGAAATCTAAAACAAGTCCAACAACAATTTTATAAGGCATTTCTTCCTAAATGTGACACTAAAATCCTGAATAAGTGTTAGACAGTTTTTGGTTACTACAGTTGATACTACCCATAAAAGTATTCTAAAGTGTCTGTTATGTTGAAATGCTTTGGAATGCTTTTACTATGAAATGTTTATTTGATTACAAATTATTTTGTTACATTTTTTTTTCCTCCTGAATGACAGCTATTTTTAAGGTAAAAATGAAAACAACTTAGAGAACAATGAGAAACAATTTCAAGTTTATCTGATGCATCATCCAAGACACATTAGAAAATTTAAATGAGAAGTTTTTCCTCCATTCTCATCTTCTGAGAGATACTAATCTTTCAAGAAAGTCATACCATATGTCAAAGACAGACAGATTGACAACACCCTGTTGATTTACTAGGTGTACACATCTTTCACTAGCTACAAAGTAGAAACAGGTATACAATCAGTCATATTATAAAACTTTAGAAGATCTTACCCTTATACATTCATCTACAGGGATATCAAACAGCTTCTCAATTTGTTTTTCAACTCTTTCAGGGTCTGCATTCTTCAGGTCAATCTGAAAAACAACATACTGCTAAATATACAGCAACTACATCTTATATACAGCAGCTTATACAGCAACTACAGCATGGTAGTTCCCAAGAATACAAGTTAAGGAATATTTATGAATTTACTTATAAATACTGGATGTCTTTAGCAAAAGATCTTTATCAAAAACCTTTCACTATTATGGCTTAAACTAACCAAAGGATTTCTAGAGATTTGGAAGTGAAAGATTTTTTGCAAGTTTATAACGAGTAAAACTATTCATTAGCAACAAATGACAACTTCATAAATTAAAATCACAGGCTAACGTTAAAAACTCAAGTCGCTCATTTGTTTTAGGAAAAGTCTTCCTTGCTTGAACGCAAGAAAGATCTTTTGTTTAACTAGGCAATTTTTGTTTTGTTCAGTAGACAGAGTACCTTTGTTCAAGAGCTGGTAAAAATTTCGTTTTACAAAGTAATATGAAAGCATAAATACTACCCAAACTTTTTTATAGGATCAAACATCAAGTACAACATACAATTACCAAAAAATTACGTATATATTTAAGCTAAACAGTAACCGATACTGTTATTCCAACCATAGAGCCTATGAAAATCATCTAAATTACAACACTCAGGTTGCTTTAAAATTAAGACTAAGCTTTTTAAATATTGAGCTATAATTCACGTAATCTATGTTTATCACCATCAACAACAAGACAAAAATTAACGCGCATGTGGGAATACACCGATTATCATAGCAAGAACTTTTAAAGTTACTTCTGTAAAAAGCAACTGGAATATTTGCCAGGGAAAGAAAAAAGAAAAGATTTTAAGAGGAAGAACCTTCTATGCTCGTAAATTGGTGCTTTTATATTATGATAGGCTACAGGATCACTCTGTGTAAGCCACTGATGAAGAGCACGTTTACTTTTTATATTAGTTCATATTTTCAAAAATTATCTAATTATCTTCCTATCCACAGATACAGGTTAAACATTTTCAGGTTAAGGAGTCAAATCAGAAGTGATACACAAGTTACGCATTGCTAACGCAAGTGTATACATCCAAGTATAAGCCTAAGTTCCCGCTGACAGCCTTCTAAATTGTTCACATCAATCATTTCCAATTTGAAAACCACAGGTGTTAAAACACGGTATTTCCAAAAGAAGGGCCAGTAGTGTCCAGAAGCTGCATCACAACCAGACTGAGAGAAGCATGGCAGACCCTGTGTAGGTTAATCTGCACCTTTCTGGTCATACATGCCCTAAGAAAAGCTAATTTACATATCACTTTACTATTAAAAAAAAAAAGCCTATTACAAATAAATGAAAGGGACTAATTAACTAACGCCTCCAATTAAAGCCTGTCCAAATTGGATGTTACAGGTTACAAAACCATATCACCTAACATTCTCATTTGCATTTAACGTCTAGTCAGCCTGAGATCCTGGAATGCCATGGCTTCAGTTTGTTCTCAGCATGATAAAATATACAGTATTAAACAACATCATCTAAAAGGTCAGTCGCTTTTCATATCACAGTCCTTATTTGCGTCAAGCTTACTTTTTTGCAAACTAAAACAGGTTCATACTTCCTTGCCAAGATGCAATTTACGCAATGCTTCTGAACCTGATAAACCACATGGACTCCACAAATACTTTTTCCACTGCTGCTTTTAGAATATGCCTCTACATGTATTTTATGAAATCAATTACTCTAAAATACTGAACAGACAAAAAATGTATAAAGTTTATTACATATAAGTTCATTTTTCAGTATACCCTTCTACTTGAGGAAACGTTTCTTATCAGTTTTCTATACAATTGCACAACCCAACTGTTTAATATAAAACTCTAAAACCTTATTACCTTGTTTATTACAGGAATTATGGCAAGCTGTGCTTCAAAAGCAAGATAGAAGTTTGCCACTGTCTGAGCCTGAATACCCTAGAAAACATGCATTAAAAAAAAAGGTTTAACATGTAATCTTATTGGTTCTTTTTTGGCATATCATACAAAACAGTAAGACTACTCTACTCTTCTATCCATTCCTTCTTTTGGGGAATGGAAAATAATTAATGGTAATTGATTTTACACATTCTTGAGAAAGAAAACAACATAACATCATTTCTCATAATGTGCATAGAAATATGACAACTAATAATGCTCGGTGTGTGACACCTCACACGTGCAGTTATTTATAGATAACAGTGTTATCCATACACAAAAAGATGTCCTTGGTGCTTAATGTATGTTATTTGCTTCTGAATAGTCAAGATTGTAGCAGGTACCTCAAAGACAGATTCTTTGCCTACAGCAAACTGTATTCACAAGTCGACTAACACAAAGAAAAACCTAGTCATGTTAATCATGGTAATAAAACTGCAATTACTCCAGAGGGCAGGAACATACCTTCACATTTACCTTACACTTATTCTGGAAAATGAAAACAGATTATAAGCTTTGTATCTTATATTTCTTTCACAAGCAAGATAAAAGAACAGTTCCGATTAGATAAGGAGGAAGAGTGGCTTCCAGATCCAATCCAAGTGCCAGAGAAGGAAGGGAAGCTAAAAAAAAAAAAAAAAAAAAAAAAAAGAGACAGTGACAGAGCGCGAGAGCAAGAGAGAGCAAGTGTGCACGCGAGCTGAAACGTAACTTCACAAATGGACCAGAGAGGATAGGACTGCCACTTACAAAGTTCATGCTCTGTAAGAAGTAGGATCTGAATCTTCACTAATCTGTGCTTTTATTTTGATGGAACTGCAGTATCTATAAACACAAAAGTTTTTTTTCCCTATAGCTTTTTTTGAAGTCATTACTTTTCTTCTGCAACATAATACTTTTACAGAGCTAGACCAGAGGCAAAAGTACTGTTGGAAAAAAATGAAGAATACGTAGGTTGCTTAAAGAAATCGCTGAAATTCTATGCAGAAGAAAGAATTAAGAACTTTACCTCATTCGCATCCACTACAAGTATGACACCTTGACAAGCAGATAATGACCGTGATACTTCATAGCTGAAATCTACATGGCCCTGTGGAGAAATATAAATATATGAAATTACAAATATTTACGAGTCCTTCGCAAAGATTTCTACATTATGAGGTTTTCATTTGTATATATGTTCATCCAAAAGACAATTATTGAAGAAAAAAATTAAAGTATTTAATAAACACAAGAAGTCAGAAATCTGCTAGGTACTATTTTTAAATATAAAGATATTTAGTTATGTATGTGTGTGATTTAAATACTATTTATACTTAACTTACTGGCGTGTCAATGAGATTTAAGAGGTACTTTACTCCTTCATGACTGTAAAAAAGAGACGCAGACTGTGCTTTAACTGTAATCCCTCTTTCACGTTCCACTTGCAGCTTATCCAGCACTTGCTTATTACGGTCAGTTTTAGCAATTGTTCCTAAGGTCAAAAAAACAGTTTTAATACCTCATTAGTATGTTACTCTATATATGTGTAAAGTTATACTATGATGAAGTGTACCCCACTGGAATTAATTTAGTGGCTAATGCACAATTTGAAAATCAACTATAAAATTAAAACCTAAGTATAACCCTCCAAATAAACAATTCTTGAAAATGCCACTAACGAGAAGAACATGGGACACTTGCAGCTGCAAACGTAGCTTTGCTATCTAATGAAGCATAAGTTTGTTTTTAAATGAAATTTTAACTTGAGCTTAAAGTCTTAGGATTTTTTAAATAGATTTTTACATATGAAGTTATATGTAATATTTTCCTAAATAAACAGGCTACAAAACATCATCTAAACCTACATCAGAGACTAACAAGTACGAAAATTCCATTCAGCACTGAATTATTTTCATGTTTAAAGAAACTTCTCCACGTCAGATCACTAGAGAGCTCATGACTTCATGATTCCAATCTCAGCTGGGAAAGGAACACTATCTTACAGCTTGACAGACCTACATTCAAAGATCCATTCTGTCACAGGCATCAGGTAAAACTGCCTATAGTCATACACAGGAGGTAATCCAAAAGGTTGATCAAAAGCTTCACTCCCCAGTTTTGTTATGCCCTCCCCTCAAACAGAAAAGGGAGATTCTTCCCAAAGGGTAATTCACAGCAGCTAAGCTCTGTTATGAAATTAAGCTCCTCTTGAGAGACAGAGCAAATACTTTATGGCTTACTTAGAGCATCCTCTAAAGTAAACTCTGTCTCTCACTTCCAAGAGAAGCCTAGTTTCACAGTTATTTATATATTTATGAAGACAGGTAGCACTTCTCTGTCTCACTCTTTCACTTCAAGGCAGGGCGGTTTTCCTTTCCTAACTCTCTACAATAACGCAAAAGTAAAAGTACTGAAGATGGAGATGCACTCAGACGGGGACAAGATACATACTTTGAGAATAAAGTAACACAACTTTAGTACTTAAGGTGAAGAAGAAAAATCTACATAGCAGTTCAGCATCCACAGAAATTCACTTGACTACCCGTAAGATTTTCTACGCACTAAATCTAAACAAACATACAGCTCTACATTTCTAAAACTCACTGTATGGCATGATAGCAGCTTCAGTACCAGCGATCTCCACAACCATGAAACGTAGTTGCCTATGGTTCGCTCACAGAATCACAGAATGGTTGAGGTTGGAAGGGACCTCTGGAGATCACCTAGTCCAACCCCCCTGCTCAAGCAGGGTCCTCTAGAGCACATTGCACAGGATCGC